AAAATCCTAGCTCTCCCAGGGGAGCTACCAGCTAGTTTCTAGGGAATCTGTTGTAGAGAAATGAATAGTCGAATCTTTCTAAAAAGCAATGTTAAAATTCATGCATATTGACCATCTGTCTGTCATGCACTGAGATAGTCCTCTGAAGTCTTATTGATTACACTGATTTGTTATTTATGGATGAATAATGAATTATCTAATGTATTGTGTTCCCAGAAAGCAGAGGCTGAGGCAATGGCTTTTGCATTTTTATTTTGTTAGGGAACGCATTCCAAAGAGGAGGGTAGGATGAAACCAAAGCAGAGGAGAAGGGAATGCCTATGTGGGGTGCATTATGATGTTGACTGCTGCTAACAGAAACTAATTAATTATGAGAACATGCCCCCAAGACACAGTGTTACCATTTCCAAGGACCATCTATCAGTATGAGAAAGGGGGAATTACTTATACACTGTCTATCATAGGTCCAATGTTTGCCCCACCTCTTGTACTTGGTTACACATCCATGGGTGTGTGTTTCTAAAGAAGCCCCATGGTAGAGGTGACAGGAAGTCCTAGGCAGGAAGTGAGAAGTAACATGGAACAGGTAGAAATCAGGTGCTGTCAGACTTCACCTGTGTGAAGTTGTTCGCATCCATAGAAAGCTGGTCACCATGGCAGCAAAGATAAGACAAATAATTAGTAGGCAAGATTGAGAAGGACCAGAGGAGTCAGAGGTGACTGATACTGAAACACAATTAAAAGAATATTTCAAAGAAAGGTCATTTTTGTCATGATTTGAAGACGTATCTAAAAGTGTGCTCTTTCTCAACATTTAACATCTAGCATTTAACATCTAACATTTCCACTTACTTTTAAGAATGCGTCAGAGATGCTCGAAGATTAAATATTTTTGAAATAAAGCAAATACAAATGAGAATTACAGAGATAGATAATGAAATGGAGTTTCTGAAGAAGAAAATAATTGAGTTGGAAAAAAACAATGAAGCTCTTGGGTAGGTATTTTTAAATTCAGTACTTGAGGCTATGGGGTATGACTGCTGTGGGACAATTGTCAGAAGGGGTTTGTCCTCTAATCTGATGGGAGCAGGGTAAGATGAGAGGTAGAGGTGGGTTGTAGGCTGCAGGCTGATTAGGGGGCTGTGATGGCTGTAGAAGGCTGGGGAGGAGAACAGAAAATTGACTACAGTGGCCAGGAGACCTGTAAAAGTTCAGAGGCAATCAAGCTTCCCAGCAGCAACTACATTTTGCTTGTAAGTCACCCTCAAATGCTACCTCTAAAGGCAGAGGCACACAGTGGGTTTAGTTTCCATTTTTTTAGAATTTGTTTTACAAATCCTATCACCAAAGTAAGAAATCTTGCTGGAATTGTATTGCGAATATAATAGCAATCAGAACTATTATATCTAATTCAGTTCCTTGAACATATTCAGTCATATTGTGATCTACTGAAGGACTGAGAACGGAGTTGTTTCACAAGAAAGGGTTCCAGCTTTATCTGTAATTACATGAGACTATATATGTGGCTCTATGAGTATCTCACACCTGTTTCTTTGCTTTTATTCCTTTCTGTGTTGCCTCAGACTGGTATTTCACCCCATGGGCCTCATTTTCATCTGTAAAATGGGTATCACAACTCTTGACTTTCTCGGTTCAAGAAAGGAGGAGATATATTCTGAAAGAAAACAAATAACAAAATCCTTGAAGAATTACTTATCCTTGTGAGAAACTTGGCAAGACTAATGCATAAATATCAGAATGTTGGTCTTCCAGAGTGAGAAATGTTCAAAGAGACCTTATAACAGGGGAAAAAGTCTTGGGAAGCCAAAACAATCCACGGGTTGCTTGGTGTAAAAGATATGAAAGCATCAGGGATCAGGTGGAGACCTCAAGGCCAGGGACATGTCTCCCAAGCCAGGCCCTCAAAATGCCTGTACTGGGAGATACTCCCTGAAAGAGAAAGTTCATGATCACATAAGTTTGAAAAATACTACATACTCTCATTCCTGTTGGGAATTCACAGTGCAGATTTGTGCATGGTACAAGCTAGCCGTAATCTCCAGAGACTGCTATGTAAACTAGACTACTTATTAACTAGTAACAAGAAAAATAATATCTGGGCTGGATATCAACTGGTCAGTAACATCAAACCTCTGTAGACCAATGAGTCTCACACTTGAACATGAATCAGAATCACCTGGAGGGCTTGTTTAGCAAGCACACACACATGTTATTTGAATCTGCCTCCAAAATTTCTGATTTAATAGGTCTGGGGAGTGGTGGGATGGGAACAAGAATTTGCATTCCTACCAAGATCCCAGGTGATGCTAATGCTGCTGGTCCTGACCATACTTGAGGATTCACTGCTCTAAACAAATCTTTATGGAAAGGCAAATTACAAAAAGGTGGTTACTTGGTGAGCCAGAACCATCACACCACAATCACTTGTTGCATCCATTTTTCAAAGAAAGATGCATATCAAGGTGCCTACAAGTTCCGACAGGTGGTGAACACATCTCTCCTAGACCTCTCTTGAGAACTGGATACAAAGCAGATCTTTGGCTTGTTTTTGTTTGTTTGTTTGTTTTTTGAACCTCACATTCTGTCTGTGAGTGCTCCTTCCTCAGCCCATCATATCATGCCTATTTAGGTTTTTTGATTTGTCTTGTTTTGCTTTGCTTCTCTGTTGACCCTTAATTCTTAGAAGGCCTGATTCATTCTTAGAAGGTTTCCTCTGCTTCACCCACAAAGCACTCATTATCTGATTCCCTACTGAACCTCTCACTTAGACTTCTTTTTGTTACATTTCTGTTTTGAAGTTTGGCTCCTGGGTAATAAACTTCCAACAGCCTGTTTCCATTTTTCTGAGCCTTCAAATATAATTCTCCTGAAGTCTGTTGCCCTGGAGACTAGAAAAAGGGAAAAGGTCTTTTACTTGCCGGAGCTTTTAAAAAGGAAGATAGAGAAATGACACCAATTGTCCCTCCTATAAATCTTTTATTGTCAGCCTTGGGGTAGATATTTCTCCCAGCCTAAGATCTTCCTCAGATGCATGGGCCAGCAGTGGATGTGTACGGTTAATGACTCCTCTTGAATTCAGACTTGACTGTAACTGAGAGAAGATAAGAGGGCTCAAATCAGGTTTCAAACATCCCCTAAACAGTAAAGATAAATTCAGCCTTTTCTTTCTCTAATTTCTGTCCTGAGGAAGGCAAGCTTTCCTTTGGGCCCTCCCTACAGGACTGTGGCATCCAAGGGTGGCTGGAGATGTGGTGGGATGCCTGTTTTTGGCTCAACTACAGTATCTCAGGATGATGAGATAGATATGACATTATTAGATATCAAAACATTCATCTAGGCTGGATGTGGTGACTCACGTCTATAATCCCAGCACTATGGGAGACAGAGATGGGAGAACGCTTAACCCCAAGAGTTTGAGACCAGCCTGGGCAACATAGTGAGACCTCATCTCCACAAAAAAAATTAGCCAGGTGTGATGGTATGTGCCTGTAGTTCCAGCTTCTCAGGAAGCTAAGAGGAAAGGTTTGGTTGAGCCCAGGAAGTCAAGGCAGTAGTGAGCTGGATGGTGCCACTGCACTTGAACCTGGGTAGAGTAAGACCCTGTCTTTAAAAAATAATAAATAAATAAAAGTAAAAATAATCATCTGTCCAGATTTCCTATTTTTGAGTCATTATTTAAGCCAAAATATCTCTTTGTTACTGCCAAGCAAGTGTGCATGGGTGGGTTGGTGGGAGCGAGGCAGGGCACCTGATATTTTTGTAGTGGTGAAAGTTCCAAAGTTGACATTTGTTTTTTGTTTCCTTCTGTCCCCATCTCAACCAAGTTTAAACAATCGCAAGCACAACTATAAAATAAGTATCCCTGACATTTTCCTCGTGTTGAGGGCTCATTTCACAGACTTTCTTCCTTTGCTAAGAGCCATACTTTTTTTTTTTGAGTTGGAGTCTCACTCTGTCGCCCAGACTGGAGTGCAGTGGCCGCTCCCGGCCACCGCAGCCTCGGCCTGCTGGGCTCTGGCGATCCTTCCACCTCAGCCTTCCAAGTAGCCGGAATTACAGGCATGCGCTACCACGACCGGCTGATTTTTTGATTTATTGTAGAGATGAGGTCTCGCTGCCCAGACGGGTCTCGAACCCGCGGGCTCAGTCAATCCACTCACCTCAGCCTCCCAAAGGCGCGGGATTACAGGCTGAGCCACCGAACCCGGCAAGAGCCATACTTTTAATGGGAGATTCTTTCTTCCCAGGGAGAAGCAGGAAGAGCTAGCAAGGCAGCACACGAAGTTAGTCCTGTCACTCAACCAAACAATGGAGGAAAAGGCCACTACCATCGTTTACATAAATGAGATTTACACCAAAGTAAACTTGCAGAAAGAAGACATAGAGTTGCAAAAACAATGCACTCAAGAGGCAGAGGAGCTAATAGAAAAAGAAAGAGCAGAATATCTGTTACGTAAGCAACAATTGACTGAACAGGTAAGTAGCATGATTTATTTAATGTAGAGACAGGGATCTTGCTATATTTCCCAGACTGGCCTCAAACTCCAGGCCTCATAAGATCCTCCCACCTCAGCCTCCCAAAGTGTTGGAATTACAAGTGTGAGCCACAATGCTCAGCTGTGATTTATTATTTAAAATACAGAATTGTATAGACTCTCAGGCAGGAAATGGGAAACAATTTGTGGGTCCTTCAGGCTAGCAAGGGCTCTTCGGTGAACATTGGGCTGGGAATAGAGTGGGTGACTCAAGGACACTGGAAGCCTCTCCGGAAAGACATTTGACTGTGTAGTACCATCTCAGTTCATAGGAAAGAATGTAAGTGGCAGGATTTGTAACACTGGGGTGGCTTCTTGCTCATATGCGGCCATATAGGAACAAGGAATATGCCACCATCTTTTCTGGTGGCCTTTGGCAGTCCTGAGGCTGTGTCTGTGTGGACAAACCCAGGACTGCTACTCCTGATGAGTGGATCAGGGGATGGAGGGGAGGTACTGCAGAGGGGCTGGGCAGAGCTGAGGGCCCTAAAAATTAAATGGTGTCTTTAGATTAGCAGTTTTGTAAGGATGGGGTGAGATAACTATTGCATCTTTTTTCTGCCCTTGCAGGGGTTGAACTATCAGCTATGCCATATTAGTTACAATTCACCATCAGATGGCTTATGATGGTTTCTTCCTTGTTCTGCTCTGGTTGTCTCAGGAGAGGTAGGGTTGTCTGCATATTAGGTGTTCCCAGCAACAGTCTTCATGGCCCTCTGTGGTGGGGAAGCCCAGCTAATGATGAGAACTGTTGAGCTTCTGATGCTGCCTTCCCCACGATGGGAATTGGCATAACCTCAGGTTATAAATGCAAGAAATATGACATAGGCTTGCAACACTGACTGCTATGTTAAATGGAAAGAAGTAAGGAAGGGAGAGAGGGAGGGGGAAAAAGGGAAAGAGAGGTAGAAAGGAAGGGAGGGAGGGAAGTAAGAGGAAGGAAGAGAGGAAGGGAGGGAGGGGGAAGGATGGAAGAGAACATTTATTAAATTACTTTTCTTGAGTCTTGATTAAAATTTAAAGGAATAAAATCTGGCAGTTGCAGTGGCTGTTTGATTCTAGTGGCAATTGATTCCTTGATAAAACTTGAGCTATTTGAAAATTCCAATGAGATCTGAACTTCTTTGTCCTTAAAAGTGCCTACCTCTTCAGAAATAGTCTTACTCTAAATTCATGTACATTCCTCCCTGAGTATAGATGGCCTGGCCCTTATAACAAGAATTGTATGAAGTCGCTGGCAAGGAGTCTATTATAGTCTGTTTGGGTTGCTATAACAAAACACCTGAAACTGGATAGTTTATAAATAATAGACATTTGTTTCTCAGTTCTAGAGACTAAGACTAAGAGGTCCCAGATTAAGGCACCAGCAGGTTTAGGTCTGGAGAGAGGCCTGCCTCTGCTTCTTGGATTATTCATCCTCCAGAGGAGACAAACACTGTGTCCTCACATAGTAGAAGGCAAAACAATGGCCCAGCTAATTCCCTCTAGCCCTTTTATAAGGTCATTAATTCCATTCATGACGGTTCTGCCTTCAGAACTTAGTCACCTCCTAAAGGCTTACCTCTTGATACTATCACATCAAGCCATTAAGTTTCAACATATGAATTTTGGGGGACACATTCAGGCCATAGTAGAATCCCTTGGGCCTTTTGCTACTACTAAAGAGAATTTGTAAAAGCCAAGCTCCTTGGACCTTTTCTGGGGTTGAAGCCAGCTGTTACCCTGGGTTGTAGTGCCTGAATCAACTGAAAGCTGTCTCAGTAATAGGGTGGGTCTACTCTTAGAGGGCTGCAACTTACTTGGATTTATTATTATCACGATGGAATGGAAATTTCAGGACAACAAGAATCAAAAGGGGTTTTACCGCTTTCCTTCTCTATCCACAACAACACTGAGCAGCATTCATGTTACTCTACTGTTCCAGCCCTCTGTTGTAAGCAGGGTTCTGTTCCCTCTGTTCAGTCCAGAAGCCCCAAGCCAGTGTGGCTCACTTAAACTATGGGATAAAGAGTGGAGTGTGTCTGTCTGTGTAAGGACTTCCAGAGTAGTGGAGGAGTAGATAGGGGAGAAACCCTACCCCTTTTGTTTACTTCTCCTGGGACCAAAACAGTCAGCCAGAGATGGCATCCAGTCTGAGTTTTGCCCACCAGAAAGTTAAGGTCCGTAGGGCAGGGATTTTGTCTGAGTCACTGCTGTATCCTAGCACCAAGAACAGTGTCTGCACACTTCACACAATATGACTATTGAATGAGTTTCTAACTTTATTTTAAGACCTGCAGGGAGAATTTTCTCCTTCCTATTCTTTAGTATAAATGTTAAAATGCAAGAAAGGAAGCTCAGAAGGATTTCATATAAGGAATTTCCAAACATGGCAAGTTTTTCTTCCTTATTGCTATATAGTCTATCTCAGGGGTCTGCAGACTTTTTCTAAAAAGGGTCAAATACTAAACATTTAAGGTCGTATAGTCTCTGTCACAACTATTCAACTATGCCATTTTAGTATAAAAGTAGCCACAAGCAATATCTGAATGAATAAGAGTGGCTTTACTTAAACAAGTGGTGGCTGGATTTGGCCTATGAGTAGTTGGGCCAAATGCCCCAGGTCTATCTCCCAGGAAAAGGGTGTCACATAGGGTGCTTTTAGACACAAAATGCAGAAGCCCCAATTGAAACTGACTTAAACAGTAAGGGCATTTATTATCTCACAGACTAGGAATTCTCAGATGGAACAATCTCTAGGACTAGTTAATATAGAGGCTTACTCGTCTTCTCCTTCACCATTTATCCTAAGGCTGGCTTCCCTCATGGTCACAAGATGGCTATCAGTGACAACGATTGTATGTTTCCTTATTAAAGTAGAAAGAGGAAAACCTTTCTATAAGTCTTACTTCATTATGTCTGTCTGGCCAGGTTAAGATAGTGCCCACTCCTAGAACAATAATGGACCCAAAGTGAATACCATGCACCAGTGGTTGAGCCCAACTGAGGTGTATAGATGTTGGAGTCAGTGACCAATGCTCACTAAAGATACATCACTGGCAGTGGTCACAGTCTGTTAATTCCCTTTACTTCCTATGAGAAAAGAAACAAACTATTACAGGTGTCATAGAATCTTCAAACTCATAAGATCTCCCCTAACACAAACAAAATGCTGGTTGCCAGTATTATTTCTATAATTGCACGATTTTGTGAGAAAGCTTAAGTCAAAGTATGAATGCAGATTTTCAATTTTCAACAAAATGTAGTAATAACATTTTATTTATATGTGAATGTACATATATGTGTCCTGGTATTGAGAAATTGGTAACAATCATATGCATTGGTGAAGCATCTGGTGGCTTTAATGAAAAGCACCCCAGACATGTGTTTTCCTAGTTCTCATAGAGTTGAATATGCTTTCTCAGGTCTTACTACTTAGTTACCTTGTTATTGGTTATCCATTTGGCAGACAAACTTATGATATGTTTGATTTTGATAAGAGTGTGACATGCTTCATTAGGGTTTGATAAGTATCATCTTGATAAAATGGTTAGTTTTTCAGGATCATAAGCTGTCCTGTCTTCAATGATTTTGTTTACTCTGTCTTTAGTTGATTTTATTTCCCATTAAATAATGTGAATTTAAGCCGGGCTTGGTGGCTCAGCCTGTAATCTCACACCTTTGGGAGGCTGAGGTGAGTGGATTGCCTGAGCCCGCGGGTTCGAGACCCACCTGGGCAGCGAGACCTCATCTCTACAATAAGTCAAAAAAAAATCAGCCAGGCATGGTAGCACACGCCTGTAGTTCCGGCTACTCAGAAGGCTGAGGCGGAAGGATCGTCGGAGCCCAGCAGGTCGAGGCTGCGGTGGCCGGGAGCGGCCACTGTACTCCAGTCTGGGCGACAGAGTGAGACTCCAACTCAAAAAAATAAATAAATAAATAATGTGAATTTAGATTCTCAATCCATCATTCCTTCCTTTGACTCTCATCTGCTTAGTAATCTGTAAATCTGGTCACCATTGCAATATTTTCCTTGTAAATCACTACAATGGCAATTGCTTTTATAATTAGTTATTAACAATCATTGTTATTATTGCTCATATAAATGTACTACTTCAATATTTTATAGTTATAATTTGGTCCTTATGTTTCATTATTTTTCCTGTGATATTGCAAAATAAGCAAACCCAGGATTTTTGTTTTCACTTCTTGATATATTTAGATTGAATAAGATATATTTAAATTAAACATGAATTAGCTTGACAAATTAAAATATATATCTCTTAAGCTTTATTGTGCTAATAGGCTCTTTTACTGATTGATTGTGTTTGTCACTACAGATTAATGAACTTAAAAAAATCCATACACTTAAGAAAAATGAGAGTTTTCAAAAGAAGAAAGACTTGGATAAATTGCTAATTAAAATGTCAAAAATAAAAGAAACAGCTACTATCCGCACAGTGGTAAGAAAGAATAAACTATGTTTTTTAAAGTCTGACCCAGTCACCTCAATGAAGAAGGTGTTGATTTTCATTCAAATTCTTACCATGCTGGGAGAATGTTTTTGGACATATTAACATTTTCTTTTAAGTGTCATGGTATAATTGTGTTTTCTTCTTCTTCAGGAGTATGGTGGGAAGCAGGAAGTTTGGAATGCCTTAGATACAAACTGCATTTGATAGGCCAAAATACTGTGAAAATGTTGATTAAAAAAACAAAAGACAGAATCAACCAAATATATTGATGTATATAACATTTCCATGAGATTGCTTAATTTTACATAACAAAATGAATAACCATGGGCTAATACTTTATTTCTCAAATGTGGAAAAATAGAACAGAGTTTAGACTCTCCATTACTATATAATATAGTAACCTTCATATGGAGAGGAGACCACTTATCTATTTGAATTAGAAAATATATCAAAACTCTGTACTTCTATTTAAAAAATTGATAGCATTTATTGAAAGCCAGCACTGTGATAAGTATTTTATAAGGATTATACTTATTTTAATTATTGGAAAACTTAAGCTTACAGAGGTGATTATAATTGAAGTGATTAATATAACTACTACTTCTATGTTAATTAAAACAGAAATGCCTGTTGAACTTCTATCATAATTAGTTTAATTAATGAGTCTCTAGTGCATTTCTCCTATGTGTCTTGAAAATCTCATGTAAAACTATATTGGTGCAATGGTAATACTGAATATTTTATATAGAGTGGTTCTTATTTTATTTTATTTTTTATTTTTAGATTAGAAAATATAGTTTATTTAAAGTAAATTAGAGAAAGAGAGAGAGAAAGAGAAGATTCACCTCCTCAAGGTGTGAGGGGGGCCAAAGCCAGGAAGCATGGCGATAGCCATAGCTCAAAGAGCACATGGCCACACCAGAGTCTAGCAAGGCAATGGCTGGTTCTGCTTATTTTAATTACAACATATTTATTATTATGCTATCCAATCACAAAACACTAGTAAAATAAAATTCTTCTCCCAAATATGTGCATTAAAAAATCATTATCTGTTTTCAAATTTCTAGAAAGTAAGGAAGCACTAGGCTTAGAGGAGAATTTAGAAATTATATAAAACATATTTTATCTGCATAACCAAGCTCACATTTCCAGTTTTGGCCTCATAAATCATAAATCAAGCTAGCCTGTACTCCAATGATCTCTAAGGCCAAATTAGACAAGTTTGAGGTGGCAAGCATAAATTTACCTTCAGATCCTTCCCCACATCCCACAATCCAACCTGCTCATCCTTCTCACCTCCATCAGTAGAGAACGGTGTTTGAAGCACAGACGAATATCACACAGAGCTGGGTTCAAATTTTGGTTCTACAAACTTGAAGTTTTCTTGTCTATAAAATGGGGACAATAATATTGTCTACTACAAAGAGTTTTTGTGGAGATTAGATGAGATCATATCTATACGTTTCTGGCTCAGTGCTTTGTATTTGGTAAAGTTTGTTGTTGCCTGAGATTAAAAGATAACATTTTGACTGTGGACTGAGACCACGTGGAGCTTCAGATTAACTTTCATGTGGTATCTGCCACCAGGTCCAGCTGATGTGATGTTGGCAGAAAAGAATAATAGCATGTTACTCTCAAGGCAGCCTACATGTCCATGGCAGAGAAGAGGGAGGGCCAGAGAGATAACAGATATGAGGCCTAACAGGCCTTCAGTATATAGCCCTAATCCTGATGATTGATCAGAGAGGCCTTTCAATATTCTGCTAAGTTTAATGACAGTTTTAGGATTTCCACCTCTGTAACTCTGAAACTAGCCATGGATGTTCTAGAGAAGGAAAAATAGCTTTCACCCCCCTTTCTTGCCTAACATGCTGAGTGTACCTCTGTGCCCCCAACAGGTGTATCTTTGATCCCACATTGATGTTCAGGTTTAGATGGCATTAAATAATATGTCTATGGCAACTCTATGACAGTGAGAAGATGAATTTGTTTGGTCTGTCTTCTCCAAGTTTCATTATCCCTCACAAGCTGAAAGGCAAATCCCAAGACCCAATTAGTTTAACTTTTCTTTTATTTAATCCAAAATTGCATTGCAAAAACATATTTTACTATGAATTTTCTCAATTGATCTTTCCTTCTTTTAAATCATAATAACATTTTAAATCATGGTAATGTTTGTTCACAGTATTTCATGATTCCATTTCCTAAATATCAATTAAATATCAAGGAAAAAACTCTTCAATGTGAACTTAGCTATCAGTTGAGACAAAAGACCCTGTTTGTTTTGGCTTTTTAAATTAATACTCACTTTAGTATCCTGGAATGATAATTGAAGATGATTATGACAGTGTGGATTTGTTTAATTTTTTTAAAGGTAGATAAAATGAATTCTTGTCTTAAAAGGTTTTTTTTATCTTTATATGTTCACTGCTCTATTTGGTTAACCTCTACTTCCAAATTTTGGGTTTTCCTGATTTGGGAAAATTTGGGTTTTCAGAATTATTTCTGTCCAAGTTTATTTTATGAAGAAACAATTAGAATGATTGCCTTTTCCCCATTAAAACCCCTAATGTGAAAGTTGAATGAGTGATTCATGAATATTTAGTGGCACTGAGCTGCTGTTAAGAATCCTCTGGTGATGACTGGAGGCCATATTTTTGTTGAATTTTTAATAGGTTCTTAGTGATCACAATTTAGAAATAGCACAACTACAAGCATCAATAAGGTACTGGAAAATACAAGTTGAAGAACTACAGAAAACCTGTAAGAATCTGGAGGATAAAATGTAAGCATAATGCTTTATTTTTACTGAAGTGTTTTTAGATGTTAACATGCTATTTTCACTTTTAAATATGTCTTTAATATTGATGGAAATTATATTCTCTTAATTTGCTATAATTTGTGCGATAGCTTTATAGAACCTCCTTTTCATTTTGTAATTAACTAGTCTGTCTTTTCAAGAGAAAAAAATAGAGGTTAATGTCAGCTTGGGAAAAGGAAGGGACTCTTTGGAACGTATATGTATTATTCTCATTTCAGTTCCTGACTCCCTACAAACAAAAATGCCCATGGGGAAAGGCATTAGTGGGATGTGACATAAGGGTACAACCCACCTAGCCGTGCTGTTAGAGTTGCTCTTAATTGAGGGGGAAGTCTCCAGGATTCTGAGAAGTCGCCAGCACTGGGCACCCACCCTCTCGATGGCAGGACCATGGGGTCAAGGGGGGCCAGGCTGCATGGTGGCCTTGTGAGAAAGGCACCATCCCCAGGCTAATAGGGGTGGCGGGGTACCTAGGGGTGGGCTGGAGGACTGTGGGGGCCTCCAGAGAGGGTAGGCAGAGTCCAGCCTGGGGTGCTTGCTGCAGTGATGGGGCACCGAGCAGGGGTGCTGAAGGTGCTTTGTGGGGAGGGGATGCATGGGGTGATCGGAGGTGAGGCCAGAGGGATATGATGGGGTGGGGAACAGGGATGGGGTGAGGGGCTGAGGGGATCCAGGTGGGTGATGGGGCACCGAGGGGGGGCAGAGGCGTGATAGTAGTGTTGGGGGTGATAGAGGTGTTGGGGGTTCTGGGGAGAGCGATGGGCAAGCTGAGCGATGGGGACGCTCAAGAGAGTACAGGGGAACCGGACATGATGAGGTGCTGAGAGGGGTAAGGGGCTGATGGAGTGACAGGGGCACAGAGGGGTGGGGTCAGGGGCTGGGGTGACGGGGCAGAGGAGTGGGATTGGGGGCTGATGGGGTGACAGGGGTACCAAGGAGTGGGGTTGGGGGCTGTTGGGGAGACGGAGGCACAGAGGAGGGATGTCGGGGGCTGATGGGGTGACAGAGGCACAGAGGAGCAGGGTCTGAGGCTGATGGGGTGACAGGAGCACAAGAGAGGGGCTGGGGCTGATGGGGTGACAGGGTGCAGAGGAGCGGGGTCAGGCGCTGATGGGATGACAGGGGCACCAAGGGGTGAGGTTGGGGGTTGTTGGGGAGACGGGGGCACAGAGGAGTGGGGTAGGGAACTGATGGTGTAACAGGAGTGCAGAGGAGCAGGGTCAGGGGCTGATGGGAGACAGGAGCACCAAGGAGGGAGCTGTGGCCTCTGAGGGGGTGACAGCGGCATCAGTTTCAGGGTACCAAGGGCGGAGGACACGGCGGGAGCTGCAGGCAGTAGCAGTGGTGGGGCAGGTGGGGGCCACTCACCCAGCTCCGGTTCTCCTCTTGATTTTCTATTGTTAATGATTCATCATTTTTTTATAATCCCAGATTTTCAAGAGTTTTCATTCATGTAGAATCTCACCAAGGAAAAGTGCTTTTAATTAATCTGATGGTTCAGGATATAGGTTAGCCTCCTTTTTATTAATAAAACTTTACTTTTTTCTTTTTATTACTTGAAAAAATTAAAAGAAAATTCTTTATTTTTATTTATTTATTTTTTTTGAGTTGGAGTCTCACTCTGTCACCCAGACTGGAGTGCAATGGCTGCTCCCAGCCACCGCAGCCTCGACCTGCTGGGCTCCAGCCATCCTTCCGCCTCAGCCTTCCAAGTAGCCGGAATTACAGGCATGTGCTACCATACCCGGCTGATTTTTTTATTTATTGTAGAGATGAGGTCTCGCTGCCCAGGCGGGTCTCGAACCCACGGGCTCAGGCAATTCACTCACCTCAGCCTCCCAATGGCGCAGGATTACAGGCTGAGCCACTGAGCCTGGCTAAAAGAAAATTCTTTGCATTCTTTTTATTTTCTTCCTTAGTTCATTTTCTCTATCTGTGGAGATGGGGAGAGGAAGCCTAGTTCTTGTTGGATGACTTTGAAGAATCATTGTTGTTTTATAATATTCTGTAATAATAAATTATAAAGGAAACTAAAACAATTTATATAACTCATCTTTCTAACCTATAATCTTTTGTTTTCCTCCATGAAATCTTTAAACTGCAAACTGGTTTATAACACTGTTACCTAAGTTGAATTCAAAATATTGAGAAAAAACAAAATCACTCAACCACAAACTTAAATTCTATGTGTGTTTGGACAACTGAGAGTACCACAAATGTTCCACAAATTCACAGGAGGCATTGATAGTTTAATCCTTGTTCCTTATTAAGATTGATATCCAGCATGGTTACACAGCTAAAGGCCAATTTAATGCCTACCTTTAAAAATTACTGTTTCTTTGCCATTCAACTGGTTTTCAGCACATACAAAATGTAGAGTAGGAAGTTAAATGTGTATAAATGACATCCAATTTGTGACCCAGAATACATACTTGTCATTAAAGTGCATGAGGCTATGAAGATTATAGATGCTCTTGGGCACTGAAATGGTTTCAAAATTGCCAGGATTACCAATGATTTCCATCCTGATATTTCTTAATATTCTGAAGTTCATAATAGAATTTGACACAACTTGTTGCTTCCACCTTCTTGAAATGCTTTCTTCACTTGGCTTCCCAAATATCACATTCCCTTATTTCACTCACCACACTGGTTGTTATTTTTCAGAACCCTACACTTGTCCCAGTTCTCTTTTCTGACTCTAAACTTTGGAGTTCTCAGCCCTTCACTGTTCTCTATTCACACTCTCCCTGTTTAAAGTCTTATGGTTTTAAATACTTTCTATACCTCAATTGCTCCCAAATTTATATATCAAGCCCTGCCCTCTTCCCTGAACTCTATAAGCACCTACTCTACATCTTACTTGCCCTCTCCACTCAAACCTATTAGATATCTCAAATGTAACTTGTCCTAAACGGAACTCTTGCCTTTCCAACTCCATGAAACAGCACTTCCCACAGTCTTCCTTATCAGCTAATGTGGCACCACCAGTTAACTCAAGTACCTACTTAACTCAAGCCAAAAGCCACCATTCCTGTTTTCCTCAGTACCCAACCCTAATCCAGCTCTAACTTCAACCAAATTTAAAGGCATGTTCTGTTGCCCACATCTTCAGAATACATCCTGATTACATCTGTTTCTTACCACCTCCACCATTCCACCCTTAAGGAGAGCTGCCTTGATCTCTTTTGGATTGTCACCATGCCTGTGTTCCTCCTCCACTGTCTTTCTCTATAAAGTAACTGGAGTCATCTTTGCAAGATGTTAATCAGTTCATGTTGCTTCTCTGCTTTAAAAAATTCTCTGGTTCCCTTCAGAATAAAACCTGAAGTTCTACCTTGCCCTCTAGACCCTATATGACCTAGTCCCAGTATGCCCTCCAGCTCATGATCCTTTTTCCTCAAATACACTAGCCATGCTTTTTTTTGCTTCTGAGTCTTATCAATTGATATTCCTCTTCCTTCAGATCTCCACATGGCTGGCTCCGTCTCATCGTTCAAGTCTTTCACAGGTTGCCCCAAAGAAGCCTTCCCTGACCACCAGTCTAAAGTAGCATGCTTGCTCTCAAGATCTCTCTATACTTTATCCTCCTGCTTCGTAATCTTAGGAGCACTGTCTGCAATTTTTTTTTTTTTTGATACTTTGCTTGTATTCTGACTACTCCACTAAAATGTAATTTCCTTGAGGGTAGCGACCTTGCCTATGCTGTATCTCTAGTATCTGGCAGAGTGTAGGTGTCCGATGATTGCTTCTTAAGTGAATGAATAAATAAAGTATTAATTCCTCAATTTGAAGGAGTAGAATTTTTTGTTTACTTTGATAAATATATAAATAAATATGTGGGGATTTGGGGGCTGGAATTTTTTGATGTCACAAGTAAATATGGTTTTGCTAAAAAATTTATGTTCTGATATGAATCTATTTGGCTTCCTTTGTTCATAGGCTGTTTTATACAGATAATAAGGAAAAACTAGATGATGCATCTAATACTGAAAAAAATGAATATTTACACAAGATAAAACAGGTAAAAAGACAGAAGTGATGCCTTTTATATTATAATTACATTTTATTTTTTAGTTAATATTTAAAATATGTGTGAGAAACATAGAACTTTTCAAAAGTAGATTTTTTCATTGAATAATAATATGATTTTTAACAGTAATTAAATTTAAAGATTTTTATCTCCTCCAAAAGAACTTTAAATATATAAAAGAACAAAGACTATCCATGTGAAGATGAATTATATTTTCTGATAATTTTTCATGTGGGCATGGGTATATTAGGAATGTTCATGATTAATGGATTAATAACATTTTTCATATGAATTATTTAGAGAAATTATCTTCTTGCTGTTGTATGGCACCTGTGAAGTGTAGCAGCCTGTTCTGCGCTTAATAATATTCTAAATATTACATTATAATATAATATTCTCAATATTTATTTTTGAAGTATTTGAGTCAGATCTATCTCCTGAGAGAATTCTCTGGACATTTTTCAAACTTAGATTGAAAGAAATATCATGTCGTAAGTAAATAATTATGGGTGTAAACCAAGATTTAGCCTCAAAATATATTCAGTGAAGCATTTGTTAAACTAGTGACAAATTGTGGGGCAGGAGGGTGAGAAATACAATTAAAACCCAAAAAAGCCGGGCTCGGTGGCTCAGCCTGTAATCCCTCACCTTTGGGAGGCTGAGGTGAGTGGATTGCCTGAGCCCGCGGGTTCGAGACCCACCTGGGCAGCAAGACCTCATCTCTACAATAAATCAAAAAATCAGCTGGGCGTGGTAGCGCATGCCTGTAATTCTGGCTATTTGGAAGGCTGAGGCGGAAGGATCGCCGGAGCCCAGCAGGCCAAGGCTGCGGTGGCCGGGAGCAGCCACTGCACTCCAGTCTGGGCGACAGAGTGAGACTCCAACTCAAAAAAAAAAAACCCAAAACAGGGAGCTTGGTTAAATAAGTATTGTTCACAATATGTTATTAAATGATAAACACTATATTATAAAATGAGATGTGTAATATGACTCATTTAATTATGTATATATACAAATATAGATATACACAAGACATAACTGAAATTCTTCTTGCCCCTTGCATTGAAGAAAAAAATTTAATAATATTAAGCATTTCGTGATCTATTGCAAATTTTGTTGGAAATTGTAGTGGTTATGGAGTGAAATCCTGTTGCAGAGCACAGAGCCACCTGTTCACCACCTTTTCTTTCTCCTGCAGTTCCTCATCCATCCTCTTGCTCGAAGATGTGTGATTACCACATATCCAAACTCTTATCACTCTGTTACAAGGCAAAATATTTCTCTCTGCACCCATGTGTCCTGAGGTTCAGCAGAGATATCAAAGGTAGTTCCCTCCCAGAAGAATGATTTGCCCCAGTTAAATGCTTTCCATTTGGGGTTTAGTGAGCTATCCACATCAGTGATAGCTTCTCCTCTGGGCTAGACCTACCCTTGATTCTCTTAGTTGCAAGGGTACCTACCAAAAGACAGAAATTAGATGAGGTTGAATTGTTGGTTAATTTGGTAGTTTTAAATTTATCTTTCAGCCGGGCTCGGTGGCACAGCCTGTAATCCCGCGCCTTTGGGAGGCTGAGGTGAATGGATTGCCTGAGTCCGCGGGT